CCCCAAAACCCCAAAACCCCAAAACCCCAAAACCCCTTGTGACACTATAAATATCGAAAACGCTGTGATAATTTTTCTTATTTTAAAGATGCGGTAAATTGCCTTCGGATGTAGTTGAGCAACATGTCTCCGGTAGACATGACAATAATTCCAACTGTGGTTAATCCGATTGCAAGTACCTGCACGAAGCTAGGAATGGCTCCTTGGAAGATCCAATTGAGTAATCCTACGAGTATGGTGTTGGTCCCTGCAATGGATACGACGGCCCCAGCGATTCCTCTCTCAACACCTATAAATAGGAAGATCTCTGCACATGCTGCAAAGATTCCTCCGAAAAAGACGACCATTTGGGCTGAAATTTCAATATGGAATTCAAAAAGGCCAACTCAGGATACCAAAATCCAAGCGATACCAAAGATGAGCTCAGCTATAAAATTGGCCATGATGAACACGAGGGACTCTAATCTGTCTGTGCAGTATCTTGACAGGATTATTCTTACCCCTAGTCATGAAGAGGCAATGGCGGATCCTATGACCATTGTAAAGGTTACCCCACCTCCAGATTGGCATAGTGAAATAATGAGTACCCCACCCAGATTTATGAAAACTCCTAAAGTCTGGAAAATGCTTATTTTCTCCTTAAACACGAAGAAGGAAGCTCATAGTGCATACAGTCAGTTTCCAGATAGGATGGCTACTCAGATCGATATGTTAAAGTTATGAGAAGATGCATCATTGAGAGCAATGTAGAGGCTAGTCATTCCTATAGCGTTCATAAAGCCACACAAGAGAGATACCACTAAAGCCTTCCTGATTTCAGTGACATCTTCATCTGTGAAAGATTGGTGACTGTTCCCAAAAATATTGGTAACAGATTTGAATGCTTTTAAAAATCTGTGATCTTTGCTTCTAATCATTAAGACAATATAAACAATCCCAAAAACTCCTAATGAGAGAGAGTTAGCGACCTTGCCTGCAAAGATATCTCCAGTCTGTGTGCCAGCGACATAGTTGCTCCCTGTGTAAGACACTAGGGATAGGAATGCTGCTAGCATGCCTCCTATCCTCCAGCTATTACAGCTCTTTTCAGCCTCTTCAGACTCCGCTTGATCTCTTAGCCTAACATAGCATCACTCTTCTTGGAGAGTTTCGATATCACTCTCTCCTTGGGTAAATGCTTTATGAGGTAGAAAATCAGAGAGGTATTTTACACTTGGAGTTCATGGTTCAGCCACAACGGCAGATTTTAACACACCTTCGTCTCTCTGGGCAGTCAATGTTTTAAACTGCTGCCCGTCTCTAGCTGCTATGGTTTGATTTTCTCTAAAATTTATTAACATCAAGGGTTAATTGTGAAAAACCTCTGAACTCAGCCCCTACCTAAGAAGCAAGTCTGTGCTTGATCGTGTATCTGACATTCAGAATTATTGTAAATTTTAGATTTTGACAAATTCAATTTAAGGGTTGGATTTTGGGGTTTTGGGGTTTTGGGGTTTTGGGGTTTTGGGG